AGAAATTGAGATCTTCGTTTTAGTTTTACTTTGATTTTCTATAGCAGCTTGGTATTGGCTATCCACTACCGTTTTATCGGTTTTAAACCTCGTTGTACTCATTTCCCGAATTTAAAGATCGCACTTTACAATCCCGGACGAGCCTCTAAAATTTTAATTTGTTCTGTTATGTCCGAGTTCCGGAGGAAAGGAAAGGGCAAATTTGTTTAAGAGAAAGAGTGAGCTCGAGTGGACGCACGGAACTGGCTTTGTTCTCCCAGATCGTCAATTGAGACAACGACAGTGAGTCGAGCGTGCCTTTTGAGCACAGAGTAACGAGTCAACGTCGATGACGCTATAATTCGTGTCTGCGCTAGCGCCGTCGATTTTGGGTCTGTTTTGGGTCAGAGAACTGAATCTCTTTAATCCGGGACAGGACCTTGCGCAATCCTTGGAGCGGGGGAGTGGTCAAGGTTTTTCTAAATGAAATATACGAATTTGAACTTTAATATTAAATTTAATGTAACATAATAAATACGTATATCGTAATCCAATAAAAATTACAGTCGGGTAAACAAGTATATCGTAATCAAATAAAAATTACATTCGGGTAAAGGTGATTATAACTTATACATTCAATACTGCCGTGATTTTTTTAGATAATTCGATGTGTGTGTGTGTGTGTGTGTGTGTGTGTGTGTGTGTGTGTGTGTGTGTGTGTGTGTGTGTGTGTGTGTGTGTGTGTGTGTGTGTGCGTTGGAAACGAAAGGAAGATTCGGAGGAGGAGAGATTATTAGTGGAGTTGGCGGATTCTTATGGTTGTTGGTGGGAACATTTTATAGAAATATTGGACTAAATAAAGATAAGGAATTCCGGGGATATATGGCGATAGTGTTAGGATGGTTACGTGTTACATGCTCCCGGAGTGCGGTCAGATTGATAGATTGGGAGTCTATTATAAATGTCCCGGGGAAGAGTCTCGATGGAGATAGGGAACAGCGCGAGGATGTCGCGGAACGTAAGTTCCTCCTCATAAAGTACCGGCGGTATCGATGGAACCTCGCCAACGAATTCCACGCTCGATATGGAACTCGCTAGTGAAGGGAGAGTTTGTGGGCGAGGTGGCGACGGAACACGAGGCGTCGAGGCCCGCGAAATTGAGGGAGAGGAAATAGGTGATGGAGGCGTTAAAACTCACGAGAGTGAAGGGGAGGTTCGGCGGAAAATGGGGAAGGGAGTGCAAGGCGTTGAGACTCGCGGCGGTGAAAGAGAGGTTCGGCGGGAAACGGGGGATGGAGTGCGAGGCGTTGGGACTCGCGGCGGTGGTGTGTGAAATCTGTTCTCCGTTGGTGAAGCTCCGACGCTCGGATTGATGGATTGGAGGAATTCCCGATAGGCCTGATCCAACAGGCTTCGCGCTCGGAACCTTCCCGCCGTTGCCGGGATCTTTCGATTAATTCTTCCGTTGTTCACTATTAGGTGAATATAAGTTACGGATGTTAAAATATAATTTGGGTTGCGAAGATATGCGTTGAAGGAAACCGGAAAGTAATAAACAGTTCCACTTACTTTGAATGTGGTGACAGCTCTGATGCTGGAGATCCTGGTCCGCCGGAACACACTCACTCAGATTAACAAAAGCACGTTCAAAACTTGTTCACTAGGAAGCTTCCGCGATGAGAATCTTGGATGGCAGAAACCTTGCAATTAGAGATTGGAGAGCACAGAGACAAAGAGTGAGCCGCAGTCGGAGTTGCGGCTTATGTAGGATTTTGGAGATACGAAGGAGATTCTAGGGCGTGTTCCTTATGTCTAATTGAATTTTTTGATTTTTAGCCTTAACGGCGTATTAAATTTAATTTATCAACTAAAGTGGTACATATCTCGAAAAATGCTTCTCGGCTTTTCCCTGTTGGTTAAGTTGAGTTCCCATCCCCGACTTTTGGGAAGGGAGAAATAAAAATATGTAAAAATGATTTACAATTTACGTAATGGAATTTCAACTGTTTATTATCGTTTTATGAGCCCGTTAGGAAAATTTCTTTTATCGGGTTAGTCTCCCCCCCCTAAATAAGAAGGGAGGGTGTGACGGCCCGATCACGAACCAGTCGTGAAAACTCGTAATTATTGTGCGAAAAAATACCAGCTTAGCCAGGAATCGAACCTGGATCTCCTGCTTACCGAGCAGGCATCTTATCTCTTCGACTACCGATGTGATGATATCTATCGCAAATAACGTGTTTAGAATAACATGTCAACAATACAATGATACACATATATACGTATATTACAATATACATATATACATGTATTCTCTCGAATCCCCACCAATATTCCAGAGAGATGATGGTCCTATTCTCTCGATAGATGCAGGTCGGACTGCAGCGGCGACATCCTTCAACGCCATTGGCAAATATACAAATAATCCTCCTGGAGCACAACAGGAGAGAGCATAAATCATGGCTCGAGCCCTCGTCCTGTTGGCGCCGAGACTATTTGTTCAAAGAAGAGAAAAAAACGTTTAGTGGACAATATAACTTTCGCCGAGAAATGAATTTTTCGAGATATTTCGAAGTCCTTCGCGATTGTTCGAAAGGAAGGAATTATGGAGTATGCGAGACGTAACAATAATATAGGTTCACGGTTCTAAATATGTAATTAAATTATCTACTTAAAAATTACATATGCCATCGAAATTTTAAAATTGAGATCATTTATATGACAATATAGTAATATTCATTAACTGGTATCATATTTTATGTCCAACTTCCGTGTTCACTTATATCATCATTTCAGTTGCAGGTTTCATTCTACTATAGAAGTTAAACAACATCGAGCAGGTTCCAAGAAGGATGAGTGACCGTTTTAGAAATATGCCAATAATACAAGATAAAAAATGTTTCATTACTTTCTTTCATTTTTTTTTATTTTTCCCACTTATTTTCTGTAAGAGGTGTCAGGTATATTATAGATTTTCACGATCTATATATATGGCTGTCTGGGATACTCTTATGCATGTCCTACATGATATACTGTTTTTAAACCATTTTCATCCTATGGCCATACTGTGGGATATTCTCCAATACTACGGATTAGGTTAGTGAGCGGTAGTAACGATCTAAGTACATTTCACAGTATATCACAGTACGTATTTTGAATCTCCAGAGAATATTTCGAATATACTTGTATGATATCCCGTTCTCAGAATAGACAAGTGCTATTAAAGTAGTATATCAGCAGGTTTTGTCATATTTTTGAGGGTAGTTTGCTCATAACGTCAGATATTACAGACTCTGTATGCAATTTGTTGCTTTTTTGCCATCAAATATTGGTAGCAGTCTCTGCTCAAAATCTGTTTCTGCAGGTTTTGCTATCGGAGCTGTTAACTTATGCCGTAACTATAAAAAATTGACGAATCATAGTTGATTATTCTTCTATATAATTCGATTATACTGTTACGACATAAGTTAACAGGAGTGGCACCCGATTGCCTACGTTGCTGATTGGCCAATTTAAAATAAAATTATTTGATTGGTTGATCCAGTAGAAAATCTCCAGACATCGGTCACTGTAAGTGGCTGTGTCCAATTGCAACGTTGTCAAACGAGACATTCCCAGTTAACAGATTATAAGACCTCCATAAACCAGCCCTAAGACTTAAGCCAGCGGCACACGATGCTTTTTTTTCTTGCTGGTTTGCTAACTGGATTCGCGTGCTTGTGAACTCTTGTCTTCGATTGGTATATTTTTTTAGATCCAAAAGAATATACCAATCAGAGACAAGAGCTCAACGAGTACGCAAATCCAGCTAGCAAATCAGTAGAAAAAAAGCATCGTGTGCCGCTGGCTTTAAGCAATAAGCAAATTAACCAATCATAATCGAGAACGTAAAGCAGTAGCAAATCCATAAGTATCGGCCCACAATAGGTGATTTGAGCGGGTAAGACTCATTTGACCAGTTAGGACAATTTCCCGGAAAATGGAAGTATAATGTTGATACCAACGAAATCGTCTAAACGAAATAATTTTAGTTTTTATGGAGTAACACGTTCAACAATCTGTTTGCACATCCTTTTTGACATATGCGCGGGCATATACGTAATAAGTATTATATATCAGAATGTAAATATAAAATACATTATAGTATTTTATTAAAATAAAATTAAATAAAGACAAATAAGTACAAACATAATAAGTGAGAACATAAAGTAAATAAGGTGAAAAACAATGATAAATATTATATACATTAATGTTATATAATAATATACTATTATTAATATATAATACATTATATACATATAATATAATAGTATATAATTATTATT